CACAAGGCTCTGCCGCCCACTCTCGCCTCCGCCGCCCATTTCTTCGCAGGGCGGCGCATGCCCATCGGGATGCGGTCCGAGCACCGGGTGCTGCCGGTCAATCGCGCGCTGACAGCTGTCGGCCACGTCCACGTCAGCAAGGACGGCCGGGCAGCGCTGGTACCTTCCTCGCGCCTTCCTTTCTTCCTGTGAGTTCCCTAATGCCCGTCCTCTCCCCTCTCCACCCCTCCTCCCCTCTTTTCCATCAGGTTCCTTCCTTTCCTTCACCCCCAGTTTCCTTCCCCTCCCCTCCCCACCCTCCCCTCCCCTCCCCACCCTCCCCTCCCTTCCCCTTCCAAGCCCACCATCTCATAATCAACCACCTTCACATCTTCCACAACCTCCCCTTCTGCCTCCGCACAATCCCCTCTCGCTGCCTCCCTTTCTCTCCCAGCCTGAGCGAGAGCCGGGAGGTGGCACTGCAGCGGCTGCAGCAGCAGCGGAGGGGTCATGTACAGCGGGGGGCGCTCTTTGCTCTGGCTGCTGCTGCTGTCGCAGGCTTCATGTGGTGGAGGTGAGAACGTCAGGGAGGGGTACAAATTGGGTACGGTTTTACTTTTTGCTCCGGCTGCTGCTGCTGTCGCAGGCTTCATGTGGTGGAGGTGAGTTCTGGAGAAGGGGAAGGTCTTATGTGGTGAGCACGGGAGCTCTCTTTGCTCTGGCTGCTGCTGCTGTCGCAGGCTTCATGTGCTGGAGGTGAGTTCTGGAGAAGGGGTAGGTCCTGTGTGGTGAGAACAGGAGCGCTCTTTGCTCTAGCTGCTGCTGCTGTTGCTGGCTTCGTGTGGTGGAGGTGTGGGGGAGTTATGTGGGCGGACGTGAGTGACAATGCAAGTTATTTTCTGCCCCTACTTCTTCCCAGCCCCTACTTCTTCCCAGCCCCTACTTCTTCCCAGCCCCTACTTCTTCCCAGCCCCTACTTCTTCCCTGCTTTAAATTCCCCATCATCTCCCAGAAAACGTCGTAACGAGAGGCGGGAGTGCGAGTATGAGCAGCAGAGAGCGGTCGCCAGAGACGCGGCCACCGCATGGCAGGGCGCTGCTGCTACCTGGTCCGAGGAATTTCTCAACCTGCTCTCTGCTAATTCTTCCCTGCCCCTGCTCTCCCACCTCCTCGCAGGAAGCGCCGCAACGAGAGGCGGGAGCGCGAGTATGAGCAGCAGAGAGCGGCTGCCAGGGACGCAGCCACCACATGGCAGGGCGCTGATGCTCCCTGGCCAGAGGAATTCCCTGCTCTCCTCCCTGCTGCCGCTCACGACCCGTCAAGCAGACTAGACCAGCAGCTAGAGGAGATTCTAGAGGCAGTGGAGGAGATCAGAGAGGCGCAGAGGGAGGAGATTGGGGAGAGAAGACGGGAGGGAGAGGAGGAGGAAGAGGAGGAGGAGGGGTTGGATTTGGATCCAGAGCATGAGTTGCCAGCAGAGCAGGTGTGTGTTGTGTGTGCTGGGAGGGTGAGGAGTGCGGTGTTCATCCCGTGTGGCCACCGTGTGTGCTGCCTGCGGTGCGCCAGGGCTGTCAAGGAGAGCAGCTCGCTCTGCCCCATCTGCCGGCGGTTCGTGCGGCGAGTGTACCAGGTGTTTGACACGTGAGAGGAGGAAGGAGCCTTCCAGCCCCTGGGAGGGTGATGAGAGAGGGTGATGAGAGAGGGTGAGGAGAGAGGGTGATGAGAGAGGGTGATGAGAGAGGGTGATGAAGGCAGGTTTTGAGTCGACTCAAAAGAGAGGGTGAGGAAGGCGGGGGTGTTCATCCCCGTGTGGGCCCCGCCTGAGCTTCCTGCTCTGCGCAAGGGCTGTCAAACAAAGCAGCTCCCTTAGCTCCATCTGTAGGCGGTTTGTGCAGCAAGTGTATCAGTCAGGTGTTTGACACGTGAGGGGGATGCAGAGTGAGGCAGGCAGGCTGTGGTCACCCCGTGTGGGCACTTGGTGTGCCGCCTGCGCTGCCAAGGAGATCACACAAGGAGGTGTGGGCAGTTGGTGTGCCGCCTGCACTGCCAAGAAGAGAAGCTCCCCCTGCGCCATCTGTCGTGTGAGGAGTCATCACGTACTTTGTAACATTGCTCTCATGCTAGGACAAGCAAGCACAGTAGCCTTGGACTCACTACTGTACATTGCATGTATATAATGTGAATAATTACCCCATGCATGTACAGTGCTCTCATAGCAGGACAAGTACAGCAGTAGTCTTGCATTACCGTAAGACTCTGTATACTCTACATGATTGGCATAGCCAGCAGAAAACCGAACCTGACAGCACTGCTGCACCATGCGAAAACCACAACTGCTCCTGCAATACATAGAGTGTTACACATCATACGGCAAGTGTCATGGATGTGGGGGATGACCCTCAGAATCTTCCCCTTCTGCGCGTCTTTTAAGGCGCCTCAAAAGTAGTGTCATGGATGTGGGGGATGACCTTCAGAATCTTCCCCTTGCTGCTTGTCCCTTGCTTCCTGACAGTGGGGCGGCTGCAGCAGTAGCTGCTTGAGCCGATTGATTTCAGCTGTAGCGCAAAGAGGGGTAGGCGTGGGTGGGAGAAGCCGGAGAGGCAGGCAGGAAGGCAGGCAGATATTAAAGCTCTAGGCCCAAATTGCGCAAGATTAGTAATCTTGCGCAAGGCTGAGGGCTGGGCGGCTTGGGAGGCAAACGCAAACTAGAGCAGGTGTTCGGTTGGTTTGGTTGGCTGATTTCGCAATATCTCTCACAAACTTTGCTGAGTCAGTAAACCTAGGGGCAAACTTCCAGTTTGGGACCTCGAGTCCCAAATTGCAGAATAATAGGGCGTTCCCACGGTTTGGACAAGAGGTGAGTCTGCCCGCGCGGCTCGTGTTTTGGAGAGATGGTGTCCATGGTGGGGCACTTCCCCACTTTGGACACCGCAGTGTTTATTGCCCAAACTTCGCAAATTCGGCTACAATCTCGCCTCTAATCATAGAGCAACCGTAGCGAGTTCCAGCACAAATTTGCGAGCCGCGTGGGCAGACTCACTCTTGTCCAAACCGTGGGAACGCCCTCTAAGCAAACTTGAAGTTTGAGCAGTGAGTTTGGCGACGACCAATCGCATTCCTTCGTACCTACTGTAACCCTAAACTCGCCAACTCACAGCACTCAAAACAGCAGCAGGTCGCCAACTCACAGCACTCAAAACAGCAGCAGGGCAACATTAGTAATCTTGCTCAGCGCGGCCCACAAGATGGGGCTTGAGCTTCAACAATTGTGCAATTCTCAGAAATAAATCAACTTCAGCAGCCATAGCGCTAACAGGGGTAGGGGTGGGGTAGGACTGAGTGACTGAGCGAGTGACTTGTGAGCGACACTGCAGCACTGTTGCAATCAACCCAACAAGGGAAATTTGAGAATTGCAAAAACTTTCACATTGCAAGAAGGTTGCGATGGAGCACTGGCAGCAGGTGATAAATTTTAACCTTCATGCTTGTTCAACCTTGAGCCTTGAACCCGTCCCTCCCTCACACTCACCTCCCTTCATGCTTGTTCCTTCTCTGCGTTCCTCCGTTGCTCACTTTTCCCTGTCCTGACTCCTGCTACCTGTTCTCTGCTCAACATGGTGCCAGCACCAGACACACCACCCTTATCACCTCCACACGACATCACCCACTCACCTTCCATCTCTCTGCATCGCTCTGCTGCTCTTCTCTCTCTCTCCTGGCTCCTCCGCAGCATGCGCTTCAGCTCCCTGTTTTCCGCCAGAACCAGCGACACTACCCCTATCACCTCCTCCTCCTGCGAATCCGAATACCCCTCCTCTTCCTCCGCTTCCACTTCTTCCTCCTCTCTTCTGCCTTTGCCATCACACTTCTCCCCTCCTTCCTGTACCACATCCTCTTCCTTTCGTGCACCCCCTTCATTTAAGGCGCCCCCTCCCTCCCATTCTCCAGCATCTCCTACTTCTCTCCTTCTTGATGCCACCTCCTCCTCGCCCCCTCTCTCACTCCCACGCGCACCCTCCTCCTCCCCATCTCCTCGCCCCACAGCACTCTCACTTCTGCCCCCTCCTCCATCTCCCTCCTGAGATTTCTCCCCCTCCTGAGCATTCCCATGCGCCACACCACTCCCTAATCCACCCTCTTTCCCTACCCCTAGCCCCACCAGTCTTCTCACTGCTCTCTCCATCGCCTCTCCCCGTCTGCCCTCTCTATCCAATTCCTTGCCTACATAAAACACCTCATTCAATCCCCTGTCCGCTCTACTGGTCTCCCCAATAGCACCATCACGTGCTTCTGGTCTACCGCTGCCACCAGCACCTTTGGGCGGTAGTTTTTGGGCTCGTCTGGAGCTGGCCGGCCAGGGAGAAGACCTGCCGAGCCATAGCCGTGTAATGTCTGCCAGCCTGTCAATTTTGTCCTCTAGTGCACGTAACCTATCAGTACCAGACCAATCTGCTGCTGCTCCACCGTACCTTACTCCTCCCAAACCTCCTGTCATACCTTCCCTAACCTCCTCTCCTGGCCCTTCCCCCAATTCCTCTCCCTCTCTGCCAGCCTGTCTATTTTGTCCTCTAGTGGCACTACCTACACATGCTGACGTGTCAGTATGCTTGGGCCGCATGAGAGGAGGTAGGGAGGATGAGGGATGGTTGGGGAGGATAGGGATAGGGAGGAGGACGATGGGGGGGTGGGTAGATGAGGAGGTATCCTTGACAAAGGTCGCAGCAGTGGTGTTTTTCAGGCTGGGTGAAGCTTCTAGGAAGTTGGGGCCTTGCTGTGCGTCTGAATCTCTGCCTGAAACATTGGGCGACGGCGCAGAGGGTGCTACAGGGCGCGCTTGCGGCCTTGCTGCTGCTGTACTAGCTTCAGCTTGACCCGACGGCCCAGTGGAATGTGGTGATGGTGGTGGTGGTGGTGCTGCTGCTGCTGCTGCTGCTGCTTCTGTTGACAGTGCTGCGTTTGCAGTGGATTTTGCTGTTGCTGCTACTGATGGTGTGGGTGCTGCTGCTGTGGTTGCCCCCCTATCACGCCCATCCGCTGCTGCCCCCGAAACCTGCTGCTGTGTAACCTCTCCGTTTTGCAAGGCAGAAAGAGGTTTCGAAGCAGCATGGGCATCGCACTGTGTGGCACCAATGCTGTTGCCATGTAGAGCAACAACAGCACCCTTCACAGCAGCGTTATCCTTGCAAACGGCTTGTTGTTCTGCTCGATTCGCTGCTGCTCCTGCTGTAACTCCTCCTACCTCTTTTGTTGCTGGCCCGTCTAATCTCCTTACCGCATCTACTCTCCTTACCCCATCTGCCCCTTTCACCCCTTCCACTCCTTCTGCCTCCTGCCCCCCTCTCTCACTCGCTGCACGACCCATACTGGTACGCCCAAGCGGAACTCCCGAGGCAGCAGCAGCACCAGCCAATGGGGGCGTGCCAGGTGGCGTCTTAGCAGAGGCCGAAGCCAGCGAGGAAGCTGACCCGTGCAAACCAGAAGCAGAGGAGAGGCCTCCCGGCCAGGCATTGCGAAAGAGCTTGGAAGGGCTGACAGGAGTTGAGCGGGAGGAGAAGGAGGAGGAGATGGAATCAGCTGCAGAAGCCACAGAGAGAGCATCACTCATGTCACTGTCCATGTCCGGGTCTAGGTTCGGGTCTAGGTTCGGGTCTACATCGGCTTCGCTGGGAGTTGAAGAGTGAGGGAGAGAGTGTGTGGATGACTTGCGACGCCTGCTGCTAGCCGCTCCTCCTGACTGGCCTTGAGCTGTGGCACCAGCTGGTGATGCCGCTGCTAATGATGCAGATGCATTGGGTTTGCGCATTCGATGAAGGGTGATGTCGAGGAATAAGAGGGTGTTTAGGGGCAGCTGCAAGAAGCGGGCCATAGAAAGAGGGGGGAGAGGGAAAAGGTGGGGGTGACTTTTGAGACGCCTCGAAGCTGGCTTGCGCATTCGATGAAGGGTGATGTCGAGGAATAAGAGGGTGTTTGGGGGCAGCTGGAAAAAAGGAGACGACAGAGAGGGGGGGTAGAAAAAGGTGGGGGTGAGGGAAAAGGGCATACGAAGACAGGCAGATCCAGAGGTTTCAAGACAATTCGGAGGCTGCTAAACATAGAAAAGACCGCGAAAGACTTTAGGAGTTTGCGAGGTCTGAAAAGTCAACTCGGGCGTCTGGAAGAGTCTGTCTGAGATAGCCCTGAGACAACCTACATTAGGAGGCAGGGACGTGATAGAAGACTGATTTTGAGACGTCTCAAGAAACAACCTTTTATCACCTGAGACAACCTACATTAGGAGGCAGGGATGGAAAATCCCCACGGCCGGCTGCAGTGGTTGAAACGGAGAGGAAGCGCCTCCCCCCCTTGCGCATGCCCACTATGCCTTGCTCCAGAGCTGGTGTGTGGATGGGTGGGAGGCAAACGTGGAAACCAGATCGTTAACGACCAGCATGATGTGGGCAGCACGATGTGGGCAGCATGATGTGGCTTGCATGATGTGGGCAGCATGGTGTGGGCAGCATGATGTGGGCAGCATGATGTGGGCAGCATGATGTGGACAGCATGGTGTGGGCAGTATAGTGTGGGCAGCATGGTGTGGGCAGCATGATGTGGGCAGCATGATGTGGGATTTTTTTCGAATCTGACACACGATTTGCAACTAGACTTTAGCGGAGAAACGAGCTGGCAACTTGGAGAGGGTGGAGGTGGGGGGAGGGGGGGGACGGCTGGAAGGTGCAGACGTGCATGACATGTCAAGGCAGGCAAGAATGATAAGAGGCAAGTAGCAGGTTCAGGCTCGCTTGCTTGGAAGGCATTATCCAAGAAGGAAATATCATACCTTCTAAGGCCTTGTGCGAGCCAAGTAGCAGCTTCACTCCCTTGCCTGGAATAGGCCGAGTGTGTGGTGTGGTGTGGTGTGGTGTGGTGTGGTGTGGTGTGGTGTGGTGTGGTGTGGTGTGGTGTGGTGTGGTGTGGTGTGGTGTGGGCACGTGAAGCATTGAATAAGGGACGTTTCAAAGGAAGTAAGGAACGCTTCAGGAGGCGCAGGCCTTGCATAAGGGACGTTTCAAAGCAGCAGTGCGGCATTGTGAGCAAACAGACATCCCTGCGAGGTTAAGCAGGAGCAAGGAAGGAACTGCAGTGCAGCTAGGGCAGATCCCATCCAACAGCCAGACTCACTGCTTTAAGAGCATGTGCTGTGTGCTGTGCGGTGCAGTGCGGTACAGTACTGTGTGAACGAACCTTGAGTGACGAGAAACGGCTTGAGGGGAGGCAGGTGTGGTGATGTGAAGGGGTCAGCCAGCCATGCTGTCACCGCCACTTGCACCTGTGATGAAAGGGGAATTCACATGACAGGACGGCAACAGAAAGGAAGGCTCGGGGGAGCGGGTAGGCCCGCAGGTATGGCAGGCAATGTGAAGGGGTCAGCCACCCAACCATGCTGTCACAGCTACTTGCACCTGTGATGAAGGGAATATTCACATGGTAGCAAGCAGCAGACACCCTAGGTTGGAAAACGCACAGCACAGGTATTACCAGCATGTTAACCAGCACAGGAGAAAAACAGAGACCATACGACTTGCCATACGCAATCCAACTGCAAGTGCGTCGTTGAGACGTCTCAAAGCTTCACTTTCTACACACGACTTGCCTTGAGACGTCTCAAAACGTCTCAAAGCTTCACTGTCTACACACGACTTGCCGTACAACACGACTTGCCGTACAACACGACTTGCCGTACAGGGTGCGCCATCCAACTGCAACTGCATTATGCTGCTGGGGATCCTTCCTTCTGAGACGTCTCAAAAGTTTCGAGACGCCTCAAAAAACAGAGACCATACGACTTGCCATACGCCATATCAACTGCAAGTGCATTATGCTGCTGGGGTTCCTTCCTGATCCGTTTCCCTCTGCCTCCAATTATGATCCACACACAGTAGACATATGTGCTGTGACCGGCTGATGAGACCCAGACTGTAGGTGCTGATGGCACTCAGTACATGAGATGCTGTAGGTGAAACACTCCTTTTCCTTAGTATATGAGAAGCTTCCCCGGCCCTCACTCTCTCTTCTACTAGGCCTCTCACTCGCAACTCTCACTCGCACCTCTCACTCGCACCTCTCACTCGCACCTCTCACTTGCACCATCCTCCCTTTCATCCAAGCCCCTTGCCCACCCACACACCCTCTGTACCATCTCATCAACTTACAGTGACGATTAAGTTGACAATTTGTTTAAACTGGCTCTCCAAGACAACGCTCAAAGCTCACAGTTAACTGGGTTTTCTCCGTCCATTCCATGGGGTTTGTCTCGTCGTTATAATAACCATACGAGTTGATGGAAGTAAGACCTCCGCAGCCCACCTGTCTGCTACTGAGTTGGTTTTTGAGAATTCTCAAAAACCCCTTGCCCACCCACACACCCCCTGTACCCTCTCATCAACTTACAGTGTCTCCCCCCTCTGCCTGCGACCTGTGTCCGCCTGTGCTCAGCAGAACATCCTGCAGAGACGAGAAGCACACATGCACACGCCACACACGGTCATGTCAGCTCTTGTCATCCCATAAGGCATGGCATGGTAGACACATAGCTGGGCGGGATGTGGTGCTGCTGAACACAGACGCACATGCACACGCCACACACAGTCATGTCAGCTCTTTTCATCCCATAAGGCATGGCATGGTAGACGCACAGCCGTGCAGTGGAGGATGTGCTGCTGCTGTTCACACACATGCACACACCACACACTGTCATGTCAGTATATTGCACCCTGAGGGAAAAGAGTGGATGGTAGAAACATGATTGTGCGGGATGTTGTGCTGAGCTGGGCACACACATGAGTGCTGCCAGTTCAGTTCAGGGTCTGCTGCGTTACTGCATCAGCAAGGTGCTTTTGATAATTCTCAAAAACAACCCAAAAAGGAGTGAGTGCTGTCAGTACAGATCTGCTGCGTTACTGCAGCAACAAGGTGAACCAAAAGGGAGGTGATTCCTTTAGCAGAATTCGTGTGAAAGAGCACAAAAGCGACTCCTTTTGCACTTTCGCCCTTACTCTCAAGAGACAACAAAGGCAGGCTTACTTGCATAGCAGCGTGGGAAGGACGGGCACGTAGGCATGTGGAGGGTAGTCCTAAGTTGGAATATACGCTACTTTCATTTTGCGTTTTGCGTTTATACTCTTGTCGAATTCGTACGTTGCGTATAGTTTGAAAATTCGCCGAGTTGAATTTCGGGCAGACCGAAAAAAAAAAAAAAAAAAAAAAATTTCAATCTGAAGCTCGCGATGTGGCGATCTCGTCTCCGAGTCGCAGATGTCGCGAAATGAACTCAAATTTTGAATTTCGAGCACCAAACCTCATCAACCCCTCCCCTCCAACGTTTCACACCCCTTTGAACCACTGCATTCCACCATCCCCTCCAAGTGCTACTTTACTGGTTGGGAGCTCAACCCAACCCAATCTCCCAGGCATAAAGAGAGGCGTTTGTTCCCTCAAAATTCATTCTCTCGCTTCCTATTCTAGCTACCTCCTTTCCCAAGCCACCATGGCTTCCACTCCTACAGCAACCACTTCTCGTACGCCACCCTCAGAGGCTCCTGGTAGTTCGGCTGGTGGGACCTCTTCTGTTACGTCTTTGGTCTGCATGAACAGCAAGCACGCAGTCTACCGCCACTTCAAGGTGCCGGCCAATAGCGTTGGCGAGAACAGCACCAAGGTGTGTGCCTACTGCAACTTCAAGTTTGTTGGCGGGGTTTACCGTTGCGCGCATTAGTTTTAAGGTTTTTTTTTTTCCTGTAACTGTCATATTAATAAAAAGGGGATGGGGGTTACAACACCCCCCCATCCCCTCCTCTTACCCCAAAAAGCTGCCCGGGAAAAACTTTTTTCCTGCCCGGGCAAGCGTATTCTTGTGCGTATTCTTGAGAGGGAGGTGGCGAGCGCAAGGGGACAAGCATACCCTCTCTTGCCGTTTCTCTGTCAGCCTTATGGTTAGTCAGGCTTACTTGCAGCGTGGGAGGGACGGGCACGTAGGTGAGTGGAGGGTAGGTCTGTGCTGCCGCAGAAGCAAGGTGTGCCGAGAGGGATGTGGCGAGAGCACGAGCAAAGCCAATGGCGAGAAGAAACGCGGAGGAGTCTGCTGCGCTGCACGCGGGAGGCAGGGGGGTAGAAACGAATGCGATATTTGAGACGACTCCTAAGACGATTCCTAAGACAATGGTGAGAAGAAAGAAAGGCGGAGGAGTCTGCTGGGCTGCAAGCGGGAGGCAGGAGGGGGTGGTTTGGGGGAGGATTGAGGACAGGGAAAATAGGGTGAGTGTGGTGTGGGGATAGGTGTGGATGGAGTCTCGAAAGAGGACGGAAACACACAACATCAGATGAAGTAACACACACACCACACACACTGGGCAAAACAACATGCTCGTTCCCGTTCGGAACAACACCTTTGCTGTTGTTTGCTCTCCCATCCAGAAGTACAGTACGAGGCTAGTGACATGAGGACTTTTGACAGGGTTCAAAATATTCTTCCCACTACCAGCACAATGCAAACAGTATATTATATGGTGAGTCGACTCAAAAGTCACCTCTATACTTTGCAAACATGAGGATCCAATGAGTGCCGTCTGGCGTCACCATGTGCACTCGCACGTGGTGCCTTTTTGAATTGACTCATAAATACGATTCCCACTACCAGCACGTACAAGCAGCAGGTTCCTACCTTGAGAACATGAGGATCCAGCGAGTGCCGTCCGGTGTTACCATGTGCACACGCACGTCCGTCTGTGGCTGCATAAGATGGTGGTGGGGGAAAGGAGGGAAGATATGAACGCAGGAACAATTACCAAAGCGGGAGCCCCTTGGACACGCAGCGAGTGCCGTCTAATGTCGCCATGTGCACCCGCGTGTCTGTCTGGGGCTGGAGGCGGAGTGAGGAGGGGTGGGGGCTGACGGGAATAAGGGGGGTGGGTGGGGAGGGGAGAGAAAAAGCGACCTTGAAGGCCCCTCAGGCGAAGCAGTGAGTGCTGTCTGGTGTCACCATGTGCACTCTCACATCCGTCTGGGGCTGCGTACGATGCTGGGCTGCGTACGATGCTGGGCTGCGTACGATGCTGGGCTGCGTACGATGCTGGGCTGCGTACGATGCTGGGCTGCGTACGATGCTGGGCTGCGTACGATGCTGGGCTGCGTACGATGCTGGGCTGCGTACGATGCTGGGCTGCGTACGATGCTGGGCTGCGTACGATGCTGGGCTGCGTACGATGCTGGGCTGCATACGATGCTGGGCTGCGTACGATGCTGGGCTGCGTACGATGCTGGGCTGCGTACGATGCTGGGCTGCGTACGATGCTGGGCTGCGTACGATGCTGGGCTGCGTACGATGCTGGGCTGCGTACGATGCTGGGCTACGTACGATGCTGGGCTGCGTACGATGGTGGGCTGCGTACGATGCTGGGCTGCGTACGATGCTGGGCTGCGTACGATGGTGGGCTGCGTACGATGCTGGGCTGCGTACGATGGTGGGCTGCGTACGATGGCGGGCTGCACTCTCAGGCGAAGCAGTGAGTGCCGTGTGGTGTCACCATGTGCAACTGCAGCAGCGTTTGGGGCTGACTCAAGGGAGGGGTTGTGGGGGAAGGTGTGGAGGAAGCGAGGTAAGGGGCGGCAAGGCAATAGGGAGGGGAAGAGCGTGCAGCAGCAGCAGCAGCAGCAGCAGCAGCAGCAGCAGCAGCAGCAGCAGCAGCAGCAGCAGAAGGACGTGGTAATGGCAGCGTGCAGCAGCACCACCGCACATCCATCACAGAGCACGCAGCTCCGTCCAATCGCCGCAGCTGGCCCGGACCACTTTTGCGAATCCTCAAACGTGTGCCCACCGCTCCAACCAATTTCGATGAGAAGGATGTGCTACACGGCCGGTCGGCTGGCCCACGAATTTTCCTGCCCACCTACCTGGCACCAGAAGGTAACGGTAACCGCAGCGTGCAGCAGCACGCGCCCATCCGCCACACAGCGCAGCTCCAGCCGCTGCAGCTGACCCGGTCCGTGTGCCACGAGAGCAGCCTGCACGGCGCCAAACACCAGCTCCTCCTCCTCCCTCGCTGCTCCGTCCGGACCTGCCCGGGTGGGTTAGGGAGGGTTGCTCAGGAAAAGAGGGATGCGTGCCACCAGAGCAGCCTGCACGCAGTCAAACACCAGCTCCTCCTCCTCCCTCGCTGCTCCGTCCGGACCTGCAGGGGTGGGTCAGGGAAGCTTATTTACGGCAAAGGGAGAGTGCAAATAGCACGTGGAGTCTTATAGAGCGGCATGCGCCGCCAGTGCAGCATGCACAGCATCGGACACCAGCTCCTCCTCCCTCGCTGCTCTGTCCGGACCTGGGAGGGGGGGAAGGGGCGGCGTAGAGCAGGAGTGCAGGGAGGCACGGGTGGATAGATGGGGGTTGACTTTTGGGTCGACTCAGAAGTCAACTCGCGGCGTAGAGCAGGAGTGCAGGGAGCCGTGGGTTGATCGATTGGGCCATGTGAGGGGGAAAGATGAGCCGGTTTCTGAAGCACTTCAAACGTCGCGAAGAGGAGAGGAACGGAGGAGTGCAGAGAGGCGAGGGTGGACACGATGAGGCCACGTAAGAAGAAGGAGAGGCCGACATCCAAGAATCTGTTTTTTGGCAATTCTAAACAAACCGACATCCAGGGGGATCGAATGATGTTGCGTGGAGACACGAGGAAGGGTGAAGGGAAGGGACAACGCGAGGGCTCGGAGCAAGTTTGTTGGAGAACACGAGAATCAGAGATCGGCTGGGTGTGGGGAAAGTTCAGGAATGCGATCGGGTCTACGAGCACGCGCTATAGAGAGTGCGGATTGTGAGAGGAAGACAGGATGGGTAACCATGTTCTAAACGTCGTGTTATCTGTTTCGAAGCTCGTTTCAGCCTGTCAACCAATCGCACCTGCTAGCACTCGTCGCACGACGACTTGGGCGATCGCGACGGAGAAGGCGACGCTCGGCAAATTGAGAAAGTATTGGCCGTTTCGCCATGGATCTCCGCCACGTTCTGCCGTTTCCGCCATGAATTCACATTTGCACTACACAGATGAATCAATAGAGAGCGACGGTGACAGCAATTGTGATGAATTAGAAAGACACTGGTGGATCCGGATCAATCGACTGATCCGGATGTATCTTGATTTTGTACGCTATATTAGCATCTCAGTATCATCCGCTTGTTTTCCTTGCAGCTGGTTTCTGGCTGTGTTTCACCTCACTACCCGTTACATACTGATTAAAGTGTAGGTTGCCTATTGTTGCATGATAACAAAACTCCCGAGTGAAGATTCTTGCACCTTATCCTCGCTATGATGTTGGAGGGTTGCTCAGGTCCCGATACCGTGCACCAAGCGCTAGCCGTCGTGCACGAGGAAAGGCCAGGTAAGCGAAGGAAACGCCTCTCTATGGTCAAATCTGCAAAAATCTTGCGGCCATTATCTCCGATACTCAAATTATGCCCGGAGCGTTTTTCGTTCATACTCAACCTGTATTCCTCATCGCCGATTGGCTCTCGCTCTTTAATCACACTTTCTACGCTAATAATACTGTTGAAATGTTATAGAAACAGAACGCGATTACTGAACGCAGTTACCACATTAAATTACAAAAAAATGTATCGAGCTTTCGATGTGAACTTAAAACTCGCGACTCATATTTACAAACGTTCTACACATACCCTGACGTTTAACACTTGGCTGGTTTGCTCGCCCGTGATTGGTGAAGCAAAAAAGTTACCCCAGCTCGTCATAGATTTTGTAGTTCGCCAACCAATCACGGAATCCTAAATCCAACCAAGTCTTCAACAGTTTTGAATTTGAGATGAAATCTTTCAATCCATATCTACGCGCCCTTGGATCGGACCTTAACTTCCGTAAAGAACTATAAGTATATTAACACTGATTAAAAGACTGCAGGCAAAAGCGAAGGCATCAACCTTAAATATTTGGTATATTCCTGTATTTATGTTTGATTTTCCCAAAGTGTATTCAGGTTATCTAAGTGTTTCATTTTATATCTTGTTTTGTTTGCAGGGGTATGTGCAGGTGAGGTGTTAGTGGCAACTTTGTTTCAGTTTTGTGCCTATAAAAAAATGAAACAGTATATGTGAGCAATACAACAGAAATTGTTGGTTGAGTACGAACGAAAAACGCTCCGGGCATAATTTGAGTATCGGAGATAATGGCCGAAAATCTTGGGAGCGGGTGAGGCGAAAAGCTGGATCATGTGCGCTCAAAATGTTCGACCAAACATTCTTTTGTTCACGGTTTGGTGAGTTTCGTTACGATGTAATTCTGCATGCTACAGTAATCATTTTCCACTGCTCAAAATCGAGAATTTCTCTCACTTGATCGTTCAAGGTGGTTGGAAGTTCCCCTTCCAACCGTCCCACGCGTAGCATTGGTCCACGGCCACGTGAAACCCTTTTTGCTGTTTTCATTCCCTCCCTGCCCGTTCGAATGCAGTTCCCCTCGAAGAGGCTCGGAACGCGTAAGTTTACAAGTGACGATTGAATCGCAGCCGCTCATGGCCTGTCTGCTTTTCCCCACTCCCTCGCCCTCGAACCCCACTCCTTCCTACCCCCCATGACGTCACTTTCCTTCTGCTACATCGTCTTGATCGTCTTTATTCGCTGAATTTAGGTTTTGTAGAGACCAGTGATCCTTATCTCAGCATCATCTGATCCGAGCTGAGACCGCTATTGCTGCCTCGCGGTTCGCGTCTCCAATTCTTACCACCATTCACTTTGCCAGCTCGAGCTGGTTCCATAGGCCACTTGCTTCCGCCGAGCATCACGTCTCCGTTTTTGCATGTACCCGTTTTACTATCCACTCTTTGGACATGCTTAGCTTCCAGCGGTGCTTGTCGGAGATCCGATGGTTCCATTCGTAGTGTAAAGCCTGACAACGCGACAGCTTCCGTTTCACAAGCTGCCGAACTGTTCAACCGACACCGTACTCTATCGCGTGGGAGGCACGAATGCCAGATATAGTTCTAATTGTCGGAATCTAGACCAGCCGGGAGTAAAATCACCGAACGCAGAGCATCTTGCATCGGTGTTGTCCGTATATAGCCGCTCATCGGCCCTGCCACTCCAACATTCCTAACTCACACTCATACCTGGCTATTACGACTCCTTTACAGACCCCTTAGCTCGATTCCTTAGTGTTGCTACGCCGTTGCCTTCATTGTGCCGTTTTTGCTCCTCACGCAATTTCCAGTTCTCTCCCGCGGCCATGGCGCACGCGTTGAGTACTAATCACACCGCAGCAGCGCTCACGTTGCAAGCCGTCGGTAATTTCCCGCACCGCCGAACACCATCGATCACCACCCCCCCTCTCTCTTCCTCCTTCCTTCCCCCGTTCAGCTCCAAATCTTTAGCCCCAGCCACCTTGCGACGGTCACAACAACACCCGTCTCCAGCCGTCCGTTCATCTCTCACCAATGGCGCCGCTCGCCGCGCGGGGTCCATGGACGAGTCGAGCCCGTTCGCGCCTTTCTTCCAGCACGTTTTCCAATCGGACGTCTCCACCCGTCCGATGATGGTCCCGGATGCGTTCGAAACCGTTCCGAACGTCCAGGACGAGCTTTGGTACACCATCCGCGAAGAGGCTCGGCAGGATTCCGAGGCTGAGCCTGCGCTGGCCTCGTACCTCTACTCCACGGTGCTAGCGCACCGGTCTTTAGAGCGGTCCCTGGCGTTTCACCTGGCGAACAAGCTCCAATCGCCTACTCTTCTAAGCACGCAGCTCTGCTCGCTCTTCACCGACGTGATGCTTCGCTCGCCGGAAGTTCAGGAGGCGCTGCGCGCCGATCTGCGGGCCATCTATACCCGTGACCCCGCGTGCCGGAGCTACTCTCACGCGATGCTGAATTTCAAGGGTTATCAGGCGCTGCAGGCGCATCGGATCGCGCATCGGCTGTGGCTGGAGGGCCGTCAAGGATTGGCCATGGCGCTTCAGAGCCGCGTGTCGGAGGTATTTCACGTGGATATTCATCCTGCTGCGAGGATTGGGAATGGAGTGTTGTTTGATCACGCGACGGGGCTGGTGGTTGGCGAAACGGCGACGATTGGTAACAATGTCTCGATTCTGCATCATGTGACGCTGGGAGGGACGGGGAAGAGCACGGGCGACAGGCATCCCAAGGTCGGCGACGGCGTTCTGATTGGCGCTGGCGCGACGCTTCTTGGACCAATCAGGATTGGGGAGGGAGCGAAAGTAGGAGCAGGGTCGGTGGTGCTGCTGGATGTGCCGCCGCGTGCGACGGTTGTGGGGATTCCAGGGAGGTTGGTTGGCGGGAAAGAGAAGCCTGCTATGTCAACGGTCAACCCTAGTGAGACTATGGACCACACCTCATTCATTCTGGATTACACCATCTGAGATCTGGAAAGTCCCTGGCTTGGGACTTGATAGGTTACTCTCCTTGGAGCTTGCTGCTGCTGGCTGTGAGGTTTAGGGTGGGAATTGGACATTTGTGATTATAGGGTTTGGTTGGGGTGGCAGGGAAAGGCTGGCAGCCTCAATTGGCAATATGTCAGTTATGTCATTCCTGTGCGACCATATTGTAGTTGGTCGTATTGTATCTTTTTGTGCTGTCACCGAGCAGTGCTTGGGTTAGGGAGCTCCAAGCTCCCCTAAGCTTGTGAATTTCCGATTGTTATAAAGATTCTAATCAAACAATATTTCATTGCGTAATCTTACTGATACTGTGGCGGGTCCTTGGCTTTGCTAATGGCTGGGTTATGATAAGCCAGGTGGCTCCAGAATTTTCAAGCAGGTTGTTGTTCGTGAAAGTGGCCACGTGCAAATCTGGTTTCAACAAGACTAGTTACCATCTCGGGTTTCGCCATATGGCGGAAATCGCTGTTCGTGGCTCACACCTTCATGCCTCGCACGAACTCCACAGCGCTGCCACTTTCAGCCGTATGTTCAGCCGCTCTCCGCTCCGATATTATGAGCCGAGCGCTACAAAAATAGTATTTCAGCCCGATCCTACGGCGCTCTCATCTATGGTTCCCAGCTTCTCTAAGCATCGTTGTAGTTTCGTTACGAGTACGCCGTACTACGAAGGTTAGGCCCGAGCTCACGACTACCCAATTCGTAGCCCATATGCGTTAGGCGCCTGATTTAGAACGCAAGACGCCGAGTCGATTCTGTGAGTCTGGGCTTCACCATGTGAGACCGCTTTAACAGGCATTAGCGCGTCTTTCTTTATCGAGGAAAAAAAAAGCCATATGACTAGCGGAATCTGACGAGAAAGTGAGAATTCTCAAAAAGTCACTCGCATCGCCCATTTCGTTCGCTTATTTCTCAGCGTCAGAAACGCGGGGCGACATGATCAAGGCTGTGCTGATCATCAACAATCAAGGAAAGGCTCGTTTCGCGCGCTTCTACGCGAACATCGTAAGCCTTTCGCGAACGTCGTGGGCTGTCATCAGCGTCTTGCCATGATGATGTTTTCATGAGCCACAAGAATTAAGTTGCTTTCCCATAACCTAATCTTAACTCAGCGTGTGACCGGATTCGTGCTTTACCTTGCAGAGCGGAGAGAGGCAGCAGCATATAATGCGGTACTCGTTTGAAGGTCAGTTGCGACTTCTTTCTTGTATCAGAAACCATTTTTAGGCCCACAGGAGCATCAGGGCCAATCCTTCTTTCCCTGTGTGACTGATTGAGCGATCCTTCACGCTCGGTGGGGAGACTCGCTCGAGCTCTGCAGTCTTGCTGCTTTCAATGCAAAGAGGTCTTAATCTGTCTCTCTTACCCCGTTTTAAGTTCTCACTCGTTTTGTTTCGTTTTCATTCGTTTTTTTTGCTCTCACTCGTCTAGTCTCCCTCCTGTTATTTGTAACCCAGCTGTGGCCTCTCGCCCGCCCACGTGGTCCAATATCATTGAGGACTCCAGCAGGTTCGGCAAGGTGAGCGTGGCTCGAAGCAGGTTCGGAAAGGTGAGAGTGGCTGAAGCAGGTTCGGCGAAGTGAGATTTGCTGAATCAGGTTTGGCAAGGTGAGAGTGGCTGAAGCAGGTTCAGCAAGGTGAGAGTGGCTCCAGCAGGTTCGGCAAGGTGAGAGTGGCTCCAGCAGGTTCGGCAAGGGGAGAGTGTCGGCAGGTTCGTCTAAGTGAGAGTAGCTGAAGCAGGTTCGGCAAGGTGACACCGCCTCTGTGTTGTGCTCTCATTATCCCCTTTTCCATGTCGCAGAACATAAAGCTGGTGTACCACACACTCGCCACGCTCTACTTCATGGTCCTCATTGACAGAGCTGAGAACGAACGAGCTTGTTGCTGAGAGCAAGCTGGCTGCTGAGAGTGCATGTGCCTCTGCTCTCTCAGTCGTGCTTTCATCATCCTCTCCATCCCCCCTCGCCATCCATCCATGCGGTGTGGCAGAACATAAAGCTGGTGTACCGCACGTTCGCCACGCTCTACTTCATCTTCCTCATTGACAGAGCCGAGAACGAGCTTGCTGTGCTGGACCTCATTCATGGTACGTATGGCTGTGCTGGACCTCATTCATGGTAAGTATGGCTGTGCTGGACCTCATTCATGGTAAGTATGGCTGTGCTGGACCTCATTCATGGTAAGTATGGCTGTGCTGGACCTCATTCATGGTAAGTATGGCTGTGCTGGACCTCATTCATGGTAAGTATGGCTGTGCTGGACCTCATTCATGGTAAGTATGGCTGTGCTGGACCTCATTCATGGTAAGTATGGCTGTGCATGGAAGGCTCTTGACCACCCAGGCTCCTCTTTTGAGGCGCCACCCAAACAGAGCCGAGAACGAGCTCTCTGTTCCAGCCCGAACCTCATGCAGGGATAAAGCCCTTGGTTACGTTCACAGCAAGGCTCAACACCACACCACACCACCCAGGCTCAACACCAACCACCTGAGTTCTTCAGCTGTTCTGACCTCCTTGCATTTCTTCCCTGCATCCCTGCTGTGCGTGCTTGCATTGCATGCAGTTTTTTGAGTCGACTCAAAAAGGTGACTTTTGAGTCGACTCAAAAGTCACCTCCTCTGACCTCCTTGCACTTCTTCCCGCCTTCCCTGCTGGGCGTGCTGGCATTGTTGAGTCGCTGGATCGCTGCTACAAGAACGTATGTTGGGTGCACATCCACTCCAGTTCTCCAGCTTCCCTAACCCCTCTGCACTTCTTCCCGCCTTCCCTTCTGTGCGTGCTTGCAGTGTTTGTTGAGTCGTTGGATCGCTGCTACAAGAACGTGTGTGAGCTGGACATAGTCTTCAACTTCACCAAGGTAGGTAGCATCCGATCTGAGTAGACGATACCATGAGGTGACTAATGAGGCGACTCAAGAGTCGTTGAATCGATGCTACAAGAACGTGTGTGAGCTGGACATAGTCTTCATCCACTGTCAAGGGGCTTTAATCGCTGTCGCTAAAAGAACGTGTTAAAGCTTGGGACTTTTTTTTTACTTCAGCACATTAAGAGCTTTTTCGTACCATGGCTGGAACACCGTATTTAACGTTTTCCCTTGTGTGCGCAGCGCAGCTGCATTCCATGCTCAATTGGTTCACGGAATGAACGACGCACCTCCGTTCTGCTTCCCTGCCACTCTGCCACCCTGCCTCCCTATACCCCTGTCCCCCTGCCCCCTTACCATGCGGCTTGTGTGCATGCAGGTGCATCAGATTCTGAACGAGATTGTGATCGGAGGGCAGGTGCTGGAGGTGACAGTGGATGAGGTGCATCGAGCGGTGCAGGAGATAGAGAGGTGGGTGAGGGGGATGCAGGAGATAGAGAGGTGGGTGAGGGGGGTGGAGATGTAGGGGAGATAGAGAGGTGGGGTTGGGGGGATTTGGAGTGTCTGTGGTGGTGGGGTATGGGCATTTTCAGGTGCGGCACAGGTGCTGGAGGTGACGGTGGATGCGTTGCATTGAGCTGTGCGGGAGATAGAGAGGTGGGTGTGAGGTGAAGGGGAGCTAGAGAGCTGGAGTTTAGGGGATATGGAGTGTCTATGGTGGTGGGATACGGACATTTCGGGTACAGTATAGGTGCTGGAGGTGACGGTGGATGAGGTGCTTCGAGCGGTGCAGGAGATAGAGAGGTGGATGAGATCATGAGAGGAGTGAAAGGACGAGGAAGGAGTGGTGCGGACAGGAGATAACTGTGATGGGAGGACACGTGCTAGAGGTGACGGTGGATAAGGTGCATTGAGCTGTGCAGGAGATTGAGAGGTGGGTGAGAGGAGTGAAAGGACGAGGAGGGAGTGGTGCTGACAGGAGATACTTGTGATGGGAGGACAGGTGCTAGAGGTGACAGTGTATCAAGTGCATCAAGCGGTGCAACTTTTGAGGCGCCTCAAAAGTCGACAGGTGCTAGAGGTGCCAGTGTATGAAGTGCATCAAGCGGTGCAGGAGGTAGAGAGGCGAGTGAGGGGGGTGGAGGAGAGAGGAAGGAGAGATTGATCGGTGAGAGCAAGGGAATGGGCGACTAATTAGCAGCACTCACAAGAGACATTGTAAGAGGAACAAGGGCTGGCTGGCTTGGGGAGGGATCAAAGAGGAGCTAGGTACATGTATGTTTGGGGTTTCTTTCGAGGTGCCTTAGAAGTTGGTTTTTTCGCACTACATGCATTTTAGACACACCAACCATGCAGCTGTACCCCTGAACGTTTTTTGAGAATTCTCAAAAAACATGCAGCTGTACCCCTGAACGCTTTTTGAGAATTCTCGAAAAACATGCAGCTGTACCCCTGAACGTGCTGCCAACGCGTGTGCACTTCGCACTGAGACTGTTGCCCCTCCTCCTGCCTTTCATTCCCTCCCTCCCCCCTGCCCTCCCTCCCCCGCAGGCTGGAGCGCAAGCCAGACACACCAGCCACACACAGCTGCGGCCCAGGGGTGCTCCTTACATGTGTGCACTGCGCACACTTCATTGTTCATCCTCTTGCCTTTCATTCCCTCCCTCACTCCCTCCCTCACTCCCTCCCTCACTCCCTCCTTCCTCTGCAGGTTAGAGCGCAAGCCAGACACTCCAGCAACACAGCTACGCCCCAGGGGCGCTCCTCTACTTTCCTAATTCATTGCTGGAGAGACCTATCTTGTTGACCCCACTGCCCTGGCTCTCATGAGATTTACAACCTGTCTGTTCAAGAAAATACTGCCAGGATGATGGTAGACAATCTGGTTATTTCTGTGAAGGAAAAAACCTGAGCCAGAATGGCTCCAACACACGTATGATCCAAAATGTCTATACGGTAAGCACATTCTTATTACCACTCTTGAAAGGGGTGTCCCACAAGCTACAGAAAACAAGGTAGCCAGCCAGAGCAAAAGATACCTTTAAATTGCGCAGGAAAAAGTGTGAGATCATAGGCTTGCTTTTGATTATCGTTATGAAAGTAGGGTTACTTTAGCGAGTAAGTTCCGAAAGCCTCATCAGAAAAAGGTCGTCGGAGCGGTTTTGCCTGTGTCGACAGGAGGGGTCGTCGGAGCCGGGTCTGACGAGGCGGGCGACTGACGCGCGTGCGGGCCCGCCAGACTGGCGCACGACCGCCGCCCCGCAGCCCCGCTCCGAACGTGAACAGCGACCCACGTTACCAAGTGGGGTCGGCGAGCTGGCGACGCCTCGCGCGAGGGAAAGTTACCCTCGCGCGAAGGCAGCCCACACGTGCCACCTGCCCGCGAGGTCCTAGTAACCCATCGCGGCCTGCCCGGACGGGCAGGCGAGGGCCGTGCGAAAATTCGGTGCCCCCTCGGGACACTCGACAATTTCGCGACCCGTTGCGGTGCTGCCACGTGTTCGCCCGTGGCTTCGCATCGGGCGCATGCGAAATTTCACACGCTGCGAAATCAAAAACCTCTCGCATCGGGTTCCGCTACGAAATCGACACGTGTCGGCCGTAGCGTCGCTCCGCGCGCATGCGAGGTGTGCGTCCCCTCGCCGACCTGGGCCAATGGACGCGAAGTCGACGCCCTGCCAAGGCGGAGACGGGCCACCCGTGCCACTTGCGCATGCGCCCTCCGAGCCCTGCCGAGAAAGGCCCCACACCCTTGGGCGATGCTGAACGGGCCTGGGGTGGGGCACCACCTCCATTTCTTGCTGGAAGGTGGCTTCGCTCCTCATTTTCCGCATCCCGTTTCGATTTTCAGACCTTGACAGCTCTGCGCCTCCCCTCTCTCCTACCTTAGCCGTCCGCGTCCTTTGTTAGTCGATAGATATGGAGCCGACCCCCGACGCCGATAAGTCGGCGCCGACTTCGGCTGACTTTCCCCTTCGTGTGCGAATGGGTCGCGGTCTCAGCTTCACCTTCGAGTGGAACGACTTCGCCGTCCTTCGCGACCATAGGAGAGAGTTCACCGAGAGATGCTTGGGACTCGGCATCAGGTGGGACTCGGGTAGTCGCGGTGGTTGGATAGTGTCGATGTCGGCGCCGACTAACTCTAGCTCCGTTGGAAGTCGCATTGTCGCTGTTTGTCATCAGACGTACGTCCGAGTACGCGAGAACATGCATGGTCCCCGTCCAGGGACGTCGGTCGGCAAAGCAAGCGTCGACCACGTACTGTCCGCGCTTGACGTACGGTAGACGTCGACCTGGTTGCGTTTGCTCACCAGCCATGTTATCTTCCCCCATGCTCACTCGTGCCCTCAGGTTCGCTTGGTTTCGCATTGGGCGGGACGACCAGCGGTTGTGGGTAATCGGAGTCGGCCCGCTTCGATCGGCCATGAAGGCCGCCGACCATTCTTGCTTTGCGACGGTTTTCGACGCCGACATCGCCGCTATCCCATTGCGATCGACGTGAGCTGGTCCCCCGTTGTCCAGTTGTCGTTTTGTGTAGTCGGTCGCATCATCGCTTAATGTTGTGGTCGACGCCGTCTTGCATGTGCAGCGGCGGCCCGCTTCCAGGGTCACACTGCAGCGTCATAGCCATCCTCTACCCAGGAGATCTGCTGAAGGCTGAGGGACAGGTCTGCAGGACCTCGATCCGGCACATCGACCCGCATACCGGGAAACTGAAGCACCGCGACGAGGCCGTCCGCGTGCTGAAGTAAGTTGTGAATAGTCGTCGCTTTCTTGCTTGTTAGTCGCCGACGGAGGGTATCACATGCTGACCTTTTTCTTTTTACTACGATGCTCCAGGCTATTCCGCACGGCTGTCCTGGCCGAGCTGGGGCGTCCCGGTAGGAAGTGGGACGGGGCGCCGCCATCACAAGCAGTGGTCGAGGACAGGCTTGCCGACTGCGACGACCCTATCCGCGACGTGAGTGGCGCGTTAAAGCTCCGCTCTTAACGTTCTGCGCGTATCTGTATGCACCGCTCATATTGTTCCGCGCTTGCCGGTGTTGTATGCAGAAAGTGCCAGGCACAGTGACGGACGGGCATGTCGGCACCGGCATGCTTGCCGCGACGTCGTTCGGGTGGGTGGCCAAGCAGATCGACCTGCTGACGGGCGACAAGGCTCGAAGTGCGGTGAGCATCGAGAACATCAAGGCAAAGGGTTTGAAGTCGCTCCGTGATAGCATGGTCGAGTACATCTGCAAACGCGTCGCCGAAAAACGATCTGCGGCGCCGACTTCAGGAGCCGTTGGAACCGCCGACAGTGCGATTGATGACGACGGCGCCGAAAGTCAGACGGCGCCCCAAGCAGCAGCTGCCGCCCAGCACCAGGTGGACTTGCCGGTGTCCGGAGGAGGCGACGCCGCGGCAGGTGCAAGAGGAGGAGGAGGCGACGCCGCGGCAGGTGCAGGACGGAAGGTTCAAGATTCGGAGTCGTCGGATTCGGACTCAGAGTCGGAGTCGGAGGGGGAGGAGGAGGACGAGGCGGCGAAAGAGAAGAAGGTCGCGGAGGATCACGAAGAGGAGGAGGAGGAGGAGGACAAGGACGAGAACGATGAGGTGGTGGAGGTTGAGGAAGGGAAGGATGAGGCGGAGAACGACGAGGAGGGGGTGGAGGCCGAGGTGCAGTACGAGCTGCAGTACGAAGACGGTACGGTTGTGGCGTTGGGGTCGGCGGATGAAAAGAATGAGGAAGCGGAGGATGGCGATGCGGGTAATGCTACGAGGTCGGCAGAAGATGGGGGGAAGGAGAAGGATGAGGTCGGCGCGGAGGCAACGACGGAACAGGGCCAGGAGGAGGCGGCATGCGAAGGTGCGAAGGTGTCGGTCGACGCCGGCGAAGGTGCGAACATCACAGGCATGCAGGAGACGAAGGAAGCATCTGGTCGGCAGGGCCCTGAACAGGTCGACGTCGAGGAACTGCTGCGGGAGAACTTCCTGTTGAGGGCGGAGAACGCTCGGCTGAAGGCGTTGCTCGATGAGGAGCAGGCTCGGCTGGACGGGTTTTTTGGTGGGTTACGTGGACTCGTCGACCACCTGAAGGAGTTGGCCGAACAGATTGACGACACCGACAAGTTTGCGGCGCAGCAGCTGCGAAACGCGACGGCGGACATGTCGAAGACCATCACGGGCAGCTTCGACGAAGCGTGGAAGACGATGAAGACATTCGCGGAACAGGCGTCGGCGTGGTTGGAGGACTTCGACAATCCGGAGGGTCGTGTGGCATGTGCACGCGCTGAAGCTGTCGACGCCTTGGCCGAGCACGTGGATGGGGTGGTGGGCGCTGCGAGGCGGGGTTTGGAGCTGTACATCACGACGCAACTATCCGCCGCGCAGGTCAACATCGCCACCGCTGTGACCTCCAGGCTCCCCGTGCAGCCGCCGCCACCGCCTCAGCCCACGCCGCCCGCCCTCCCGGAAGAGCTCTTGAAGTCGTTCAAGGCCGACATCATGAAGACGGTGACGGAGGCCACCCAGCAGTCGTTCGTTGCTTCCGGGATGAAGATGTTGACCGAGATGATCGGCACTGTGGCGCCTGGTCGACGCGGGTCGTCGCCGTCGGCCAATGACGCAGATCAAGCGCAAAGGAGGGCGGCCGACAAGCAGGGCGAGAAGAGGACGGGCGACGGAGACGACAAGGAGAGCGTGAAGCGGAGCAAGGGATCGGACGGGAGCCGCGGCACGAAGCCTCCTGCTCAGAGCGTGGTCGAACAGCTAAAGTCAAAGGCGGGGTGGAAGGTGATAAGGACGTCGAACAGCAAGGGAAGCGGAAGCGGGAAGGCAGAGGGTGGCCCTGCCGACGGGGTTGCCGCTAACGTCGCTGCACCGCCTGGCCCGCCTTTGGTCGCCGAGCAGACCAAACCGCAGGCGACCTCCGGGAAAGGCGTGACCGACAAGGAGGCCCCTACTACTCAGGCGGCGAACGACGGCGGCGCCGGAACCACCAAGGGACCGTCCATCGCGGTGGCGGCCAAGGGCAACGCGAAGGCCGCCTCTGCCAAGTCGCTTCCCCGTAAGTCCCCAGCGGCTACCCCCGCGCCGGCCGGCAAGTCAGGCGCCAACAACGATGGGCCGGCCATTGCGGCCCCTCCAGCTCCAGCAGCACCAACTGCCGACAAGGGCGACGCGACGGCTGCTGCGGCTAAGCCCGAAGGTCCGTCACCTGCTAAGGTGCCCGCCGGCAGTAACGCGCTCAGGGAGATGCTCCGCCGCATGGATGCGGATCGCAGGGACGTGCAGCAGCCTCCAGTGGTCGACGCCGCCCTTGCCGAAACAGCACGTCGCTCAGTCACGTCGCAGGTTGTCGGCAAATCGACCGGTGCCCCACCTGCCGTGCCTCTAGTCGCCGCCCCACCGCCCGCGGAACCCAAATCCGCGTTTCTTCGCGCCCATTTAGGCGCACGCAAAGCGGGAGCTCGACAAGTGACTCAGCCGGAACCCGGCAAAAGCGCGACGCCGACGTCGGTAAACGCGACTTCACCCACACCAGGTGCAGCTGTGGTCGCTCGACAAGTGACTCAGCCGGAACCCGGCAAAAGCGCGACGCCGACGTCGGTAAACGCGACTTCACCCACACCAGGTGCAGCTGTGGTCGATGCTGCGGCGGAGAAGGGTGTGAGCGCGGCGCTAGCCACCGGCGGCCGAGCCGACAGGCATGCCAACCTCGCTGCCGTTCTGGCTCAATTTGAAGCAGCAAAACGCCCCGAGTATGCCCCAGCACTGGCCATCATGGACACGGCACATGCGGCGCCGTCGGGGACCCACGGTGGGGGTTCGGCGGAGCCGACGACTGCAACGGCTGCTGTCGCCGAGGGAAATGCGGGACGGAAGGGTAAGGACGACACCGGGAAAGGGAAGGCGGTCTCGCAGAGGAGCACGCGGGCGATGTCGGCGGGGAATGAGATGTCGGAAGAGAAAGGGAAGAAGCCGGCACGGAATCAGGACAAGTCGGGCGGCAAACATAAGCCGGCGAAGAGGAAGGCGAAGGCGGAAGAGGAGGAGGAGGAGGAGGAGGAGGAGGAGGAGGGGGAGGAGGAGGAAGGGCATGGACGCCGGGGTCATGGCATCCGCCGAGACAGGTCTGGCGACGGGCTTGGGTGGGTGGGCGAGATCAAGATTAAGGGCCAGAATCGGTACATCGGCAAGTCGCGCGATAAGATGGATCTGGCCTACGAGCACGCGATTGCGTACTTGCTCTACGACGGCTACGTGAGGAAGGTGCTGACGAAGGAGCTCACCGTCTTGAAGCCGGGGCAGTTGGATGAATGGAAGGCGGTATGGGAGGAGCTCAGGTTCCTGTCGACCGGGATGTGGACGGTGATGTGGGCCAGAGGCTTGTGCCATCCGAGAGCAAGGTAAGTCGGTTACCGACGTGCCGAGTTCTGTCGACCAGGTCGGTGTCAAGATCGCTGATGTCGACCAAGTCGTGCTGTTTTAATGTTTTTGCGCGGCAGGTTCGACGATATACTCGGCAGGTACCGTGGGTACGCGAGCTCGGGTGATGCGCTTCATGACGTGCTCTGGCCGGCGATATGGTTCCCCATCATCGAAGACACGGAGGCAGGCAAGGCGGAGACAACCGCTCTCTTGTCGGCGACGGTAAATCGCGTGTCGATGTGCGCGGCGTATGGGAAGGTCGCGGCGAGCGTGGCGTTTGGGAAGGTCGACGCGAGCGCGGAGGGGAAGGCAGGTGAGAACGCGGAGATGGAAGGCGCGGAGGGGAAGGCGGACGAGTGTCAAACATTATATATGTTGGGTTTGTTAGGCTACAGTGGGTTAGCCTATATGGGGTACACAATTCTAGGGTTTGCTATTTGTACTGATTTCTCTGTTAGTTCAATCATTCCAGTCTGTTATTCTGACATGGTTTCAGAGCAGGTCCTTCGCTAGGACCGTTTTTTTTTTTAAGGGCCCACCGCTACCTAACTCCCTACCTACCTACCTACCTAGGGCGCCTCGACTTTTTTTTCGGCCCCTAAGCACTAGCGACCCGCGACCCGCCCCTTAAGGCCCCGTCGCGCCGCCCCTTAAGCCCCGTCGGCCCCGCGTTCGCCCCTTACGGCCCCGCCGCGCCGCCCCTTAAGGCCTCGCTACGGCCCCGCGCTCGCCCCTTTACGGCCCCGCGCACCGCCCCTTACGGCCCCGCGCACCGCCCCTTACGGCCCCGCGCACCGCCCTGTACGGCCCCGTCGGCCCCGCGATCGAACCTACCGGCCCGCCGCTCGCCCCTTAGCGACCTAGTCGGCCCCGCGATCGCCCCTTTCACCCGCTGCCGCCCCGTGCACCGCTTACGCAGCCCGCACTGAGCCCGCGCACCGCCCGCACAGCCCGCGCTAAGCCGCGCAGCCTACGCACCGCCTGCGCACCGCCCGCACGCTGCCCGCGCACCGCTCGCGCCCCACTTAGAGGCCCCCTGCGGCCCCGTACCGCCTCGCTTAGCGGTCCCGCGCCGCCGCGCAGCCTGAACTGAGCCGCACCGCCCGACCGAGCCGTGCCGCCCGTACTGAGCAGCCCCGTTTACACTGCTCCAACTGCTACTACTACTGTTCCTACTACTGCTACTGCTCCTGCCGCTATGGCTAGTCCTCCCATTCTAGCTTTCGATGCCGAGGGCCGTCCAGTGAAGTTCGACACCTGGCTAGATGACCTGCACCTGTTCCTACAGCTCACTGCCAAGGAAGATATCTCACTGTACGACCACGCCCTAGGCCATGCCACTGCCCCTGACTCGTCTGCTGACAGCACTCTGCGTTCCCAGTGGCAGACCCGTGATGCGCACGCTCGCTTTGCTATTCGCAACTCCCTGCCGTGATGCTATTCGCTGAGCTCACTGTTGCCCTCCTCGAGAAGGAACTGCTTGCAGCTGAGGCGAGCATCGTCGCTGTGGGAACCTCTCGTGGCGACCCCCGCACCCCGTTCTTTGAGGGGTGTTCCCCTTCCCCCCTCCTCCCCTCTGTCGCCTCTGCTGCTGCTGTCGACCTTCTTGGTGCTGAGAAGGTCGGGACCGCGTCTGCTTCGAGCGGGCGCCGCAGGAACAAGGGGGGCAGGGGTGGGGGTGGTGGCGGAGGAGGTGGGGGTGGAGGCGGTGGGAGTGGAGGCGCGGCTGGGGAGACTAGTGGCGGCAGTGGGGGAGGAGACAGCAGCGGTGGGAGTGGTGGTGGAGGCGGCAGCGGAGGCGGAGGTGGTCGTGGCGGCGGCAGGGGTGGAGGTGGCCGGGGCGGCGGCGGTGGGGGTGGTGGTCGTGGAGGCACTGGCGGAGGGCAGAGTCAGCAGCCCGCCCCGACGCTTCAGGCCGCCCGTGAGTGGTATGCGCAGCGTAGCGTTACCTGCACGTACGTCATTCGCACAGGTGACCGCAGCGGCCAGCAGTGTGGGAGGCCGCACCCCACGCAGCGCTGCTTCGCGCGCCTTAACGACGCGTGGCGCACTCAGTTTCCTGCTGCCACTGAGCTGCCGCGCTGGGCTGATCTGGAAAAGAGGGGTGTTGATATTTGGGCTTTAGACTTTGATGCTATTCTCACTGCCATGTATGCGATGTCTATTAGTGGAGAGGGTGCTCAGTACTTGCGTGTTCCGCCCGACCCGGGCATTCAGGCCAGTCCGACTGCCGCTCTAGGTGCTAGTGCGTCTGCTCCCACAGGTCCTGGTGAGGCTGCAGCCCTAGGTGCTCGTGCGTCCGTGTCCCCTGGTACTGAGTCGACTGCAGCACTGCACACCTTCACACTAGACTCAGGTGCTTCTCGCTCCTTCTTTCGTGACCGCACTGTCCTTGAGCCACTCGCTCGGCCAGTTGCTGTCTCCCTTGCTGACCCCTCTGGGGGTCCGGTCATTGCGACCTCCTCCACTGTCCTTCCTTGTCCGGCGGTCCCGTCCGGCACGCTGTCAGGTCTCTACCTCCCCTCGTTCTCTACGAACTTGGTGGCAGGTAGTGCGCTCCAGGATGGGGGTGTTCACCAGTTCACCCCCGCCTACGAGCGCGTGACACACTGCACGTGTGCTCGGACGGGTCGCCACCTGGCTACCTTCACTCGGGAGCCGGGGTCGGACCTGTACACACTGACCACTGAGTCTCCTCAGGTAGCTGCGTCTGCGTCTACGTCTGGGTCTGCGTCAGGTCAGCTGTCCGCCCCCTGCTCGTGTCGCTCTCTGGCGCACGAGACTGTCCTTTGGCACCACCGCCTTGGTCACCCGTCTGTGCAGCGCCTTCGGGCCATGCACAAACGGGACCTTGTTGCTGGTCTTCCCAGGGTGCTCCCTCCCCTTCCCGACTCGCCTGCTCCTCCCTGTATTCCCTGTGTCGAGGGACGGCAGCGCGCCGCTCCTCACTCCTCCTCCTTTCCCCCGACGACTGCTCCCTTGCAGACGCTCCACATGGACGTGTGGGGCCCAGCCCGCGTCCGTGGTCAGGGTCAGGAGAGGTACTTCCTGATTGTTGTTGACGACTTCTCGCGCTACACCACGGTCTTCCCCTTGCGCGCCAAGGGTGATGTCCCTGATGTCTTGATCCCTTGGATCCGCAGATCTCGTCTCCAGCTCAGTGAGCGTTTCCGCTCCGACTTCCCTGTCCTGCGTCTGCACTCTGACAGAGGTGGGGAGTTTTCCTCTGGCCTATTGGAGGCCTTCTGTCAGCAGGAGGGCATTGAGCAGTCGTACACGCTTCCGGCCTCTCCACAGCAGAATGGGGTTGCTGAGCGCCGCATTGGTCTGGTCATGGAGGTCGCTCGTACCTCCTTGAGCCATGCGGCTGCCCCCCATTTTCTGTGGCCCCTGGCTGGCAGTTCTACCACCCCACCTCGCGTCGTGTCCTGGCCTCTCAGGACGTCACTTTTGACGAGTCCGTCCCCTACTACCGCCTCTTCCCCTACCGCACTGCCCCGCTCCCCCCCCCGCCTCTCTTCCTCGCTCCAGGTGCTGAGGTACCAGACCCCCTCCCCCCTCAGGGTGCCGCTCCCTCAGGTGTGTCCCAGGTAGACCCGGGTGAGCCTGTCGAGGTAGCTGTTGACTCTCGTCCTGCTAGGGGTGCTGAGCCTGAGCGTGCTGCGTCTGGGGGTGCTGAGCCTGGGGGTGCTGCGTCTGGGGGTGCTGAGCCTGGGAGTGCTGAGTCTGGGGGTGCGGAGCCTGGGGGTGCTGAGCCAGGAGGTGCGGAGCCTGGAGGTGCTGAGCCTGGGGGTGCTGAGTCTGGGGGTGCTGAGTCTGGGGGTGCTGAGCCTGAGCGTGCTACACCTGGAGGAGCCCTCTCCTCCCAGCAGCTGCAGCAGATCCGCGAGTGGTACACACGGCGCTGCAGTCTTCGGAGTGGTGCTCCTGGTGCTGCGGACCCTGGGGGTGGCGCTGCTGCTGGTGCTGCGGACCCGCCTGGTGGAGCTGCTGCTGGTGCTGAGGACTCGGACGTTGGAGCTGCTGCTGGAGCTGAGGACCCGGGCGGTGGCGCTGCTGCTGGTGCTGCGGACCCGGACGGTGGAGCTGCTGCTGGTGCTGAGGACTCGGACGGTGGAGCTGCTGCTGGAGCTGAGGACCCGAGCGGTGGCACTGCTGCTGCTGCTGAGGACCCGGGCGTTGGAGCTACTACTGGTGCTGAGGACCCGGCCGGTGGAGCTGCTGCTGGTGCTGTGGACCCGGACGCTGGAGCTCCTACTGGTACTGAGGACCCGGCCGCTGGAGTCTCCTCTGCTTCTGGAGACGCTGCGCGGCCGCGACCGTACTTCGTACCGCTCCTTCAGCAGGTTCTTGGGCAGGCTCCTCCTCCTTGTCCTCCTCCCTCCGTAGAGTGTCCTCCGCCTGTCCAGCCGCAGTCACAGTTACCGCCTACCTCGCCTCTCCCTGCTCCCTCTCCTTACACTTGTCCCACAGGAGGTCTTACAGAGCGTCGTGAGCCTGAGTCTCGTCCTGCGTCGCCTGTTCGTCCTGCTCGCACTGGTAGTCGTGTCCGTCGTGAGCGTCCTCCTCCTGTCCCAGGCACTCACTACATGACTCTGCGTCCCTCTACTGCTCCTCAGCGTGTCCCTCTACCGTCTCCTCCTGCGTCCTCTTTGCCTGCCGTTCCGGACCCTGAGTCTGACCGGTATCGTGCTGAGCACCCTACTGTCACGCGTCTCCTCGCTACTGTTGTCACTGACCCTACCTTTGAGTCCTCGGCTGCGTCTGCTCTGGTCGCTGAGTTGGTTGACTTTGCTGCTGCCTGTCGTCTAGACTACGCTGCTAGCCTTGTTGCTGAGTCTGAGTCTGAGTCTGTCTGTCCTCCGTCCGTCGGGGGTGAGTGTGCTCTTGGCACGGACGTCCTTGAGGACAGACAGGAGGAGTTCCAGTGTCTTGCTGCTGCTTTGCCCCGTCTCGTGTCCTTGCTAGTTGCCCCTGAGGGA